CCATGGCAGGGGGTCGGACTAGATGATCTGCTCAGGTCCCTTCCGACCCTAGAAACTATGAAAGTCCAGATTGTTTAATTCTCTAATTCAGTGGTTTTTAAACTCTTTTGGCCACCTACCCTTTTAGCTGCAAAAAATGGCTGCTCTCAACAACTACTCCCACCATATCTGCATATTCATTCCTTAACATGTCAAGAATGACAATGTGTTGCAGTGTCATTACTTGCCACATGCTGACCATCATCAGACCTTAAATGCTGGAGGCTGCAAGTGAGAGAGGAACAGTGGAAAAAACCCTGGTCATATCCTGTTCACTCCTTTTCAGCCTCCACTCTCTGCTGCTGCATGGCAGGAAACTGGGCAAGATGGATGTAGGGTCTGACCTAGTATGTGGCAGTTCTTATGTTCTTCTTATTAAAATGTAGGCACGTATCCTTTGGCAAAGCACCATGTACCCCAGTTTGAATGGCTAATTTATGGCCTGTTTAAAGAAATTTACTAGATGTGTGGGGTACAGAATTCTTGCTGTTTAGTTCCTACCACATTCTTGATATCTGGGCATCTTTTCTATTTGCAATTCTTACATCAGTCAGCATACTTGGTACCTCAAATAAGGTTCAGTCCCATTGACCCCCTCAGTGCCTTTAATTCATTAAAATACTTTGGACAGATGTCTCCCCTACCTTCTCTGCAGAGCAAGGGATGACATCACTTGGCTTCTTGGTACCACTCTACCCAATTTACCCCTAGTGCTGGAAGTACAGTTTCTTATGGGTACCCTGTTTCCAGTATGTATAAAGCCTTGTTTGCTCTTCGCATTGCACCTTCCCCGTTGCTTTAGCCTGTGCAGCGCAGTTGGTTTCCTTAGAGTTGGATTTAAATTTCAGTTTGGCTCAAACCTCGTGAGCTTTTGTCCTTTACCCATGCTGGTGTTTCTTATCTTGCCCTGTTATGTGATTGATCTTGAGAGTCTATCCTCACCAAAATCTATGAGCAGTGCCAACAGTCTTCCCCAATCTGCCAAAAGCCACAGAGAGCAAAAGCTGTCAAATGAGGAGCTGGCCTGTAGAAAGATAGAAATCGTTTGTCTGACTAAGAGACTTGTTCTTAATGTGGTGGTTCACAGCTGGGGCCCAGACTCTCCACCCAGAGCTTCCCGGACAAAGGTGTATATTGTATCTGTTCCACCTCAGTGACTAGGTACTCCTGCTGCCAGGTAAAGCAGCAGTGACTCTTTCTCTTGCTCTTTTTCTTCCCATATTGGCTTCTAACGCAGCTGGCCACAGGAGTTGCTCAGCAGCCTGGGGTTTGCTCTCCAAACCTGCTTAGGCATGTACCAAGGGATGTCCCAGGCCAAAGCAAGATATAGGAAAGGAGGGAGAGGTACAACATGAGCAGGAGGCAAGCTAGAGATGGGGTTGGGTGAAAAGTGAGATGAAAGTACTTTGCAACTGAGCTGAAGCATGGTCCCAGGAGGTGCTTTCCTTCCTAACCAAGGAGCTTGCAGGTCAAAGGATGAGGGACATTGTGCAGAGGGTAGAAAGCACAAGTGAAGCTGGGGTCACACTAGTTATAGGAAGCACCACCTCCATTTCTGAGGCAGTAATCTTTGACTTGTTCCTTGGCAGTCCAAGTGGGGAGGCATGGTTGCATGCAGGTCATGTCCACGGGCCACAGAACATCTCTCCTGTGCTAGGTGGTGACCGTCCTTCACTATTCTACCTCTGGAGGTTGGGCCGTTCTGTGGCAGTCACAGGGGTGGCAGTGCTCTGGCCTCTTGCACTCATCCAGAATGCTTGCATCTGCCATGTCCTGTTGTACGTGCCAGAAGTGTTGGCCCTGTTTTTAGCCAATGCAAATTCCCAGCCTTTTGACATTCTCTCCTGCTTCATTCAGAAATTTGGCGAGCTGGCAATGACCAGCGAATCCAAGGCGTTGATAGGACTCTACCACGGGCAGGTGTTGTGCAAGAAAAACAAGTTTGGGACACCAAAGCAGGAGGTCAAGTAAGTGAAACTGTAGGCTGAATGATGGAGCAGCTGAGAGAACCTTTGCCGGGGGCCCGTTCCGATGCCTCAAGCATGTTTCTTAGGTGAAACACACGCCAGTGCCAGTCTCCAGAAAGTGCCTCCATCCCCTGAAAAGGCTGGCTCCTCACCACCACACAGTCTCCCCACTTGATGGCAGAAGTTTCTGAGGATGCTTGGCTGGGTAACATGTCCAGGGCAAATGTGTTTGAGATGGTGGTCTGCCCTGAGGTTAATCAAACGCTCCTGCTTGGGGCTGTGCTTGGGTTGCATTGACCACCAATGGCTCCCTCCCCTGCAGTGGCAGGGTATGCTGTGCTTTGGTGGACCCACAGCTGTCAGGCTGGCACTTGAGCCTGCAGTGAGATCAACTATCCAGTCTGTCTGGAGTATGAAAGTGGCCAACTTAGTCCAGAACCCTGATGGCCTGCACGGCCCAGCTGCATGTGGTGCAAGTCCCAGTGTGGTGTTGCTTTCCCCATGTGAAGACTGAATTACTAGGGAGAAACACTGGGCAGTAGCCTTGCCTTAATCTGCCCAGCTGCACTGCCCATACAGGTTGCGCTGGCAGAGGGTTGGGTCAGAGGGGCAGGGCTTGCACAGAAGGTAGTCCCCAGCGCCTGACTTCATTGGATAGAAAGCAAAGGGTGGCAGCTGGGGGTGATTAGAGCCCAGATGCCAAACCAGGAGCTGAGTTAGGGAACTAGCAGGATCCCTTCCAGGGAAGGACAGTGCATTGTATTAGCTGTTTCAAAGCAAGCTGTTGTTGCTATGCGTCCCACTTGCTAATAGGATTGGTAAGGACATTACAAAACTTGGTAGAAATCCGCTCGGGATTAAACTTGATTTGCATGTTAATCTGATGAGGCTTTATACCATGCTCACTCATCATGCCAGCCAAAATCTGAACAGGCTTTTGGAAACACCTGGTAAATCCTCTCTGTGACTATGAAGAGACAGACTTCCCTGCACTCTGGAATACTTAGAATGAATTGCAGGCTGGGTATTTGAAAGGGCCAGCTCTGTTGTAAAATGACAGCGATATGCAGATAATGCCCAAGATATATTTGACCTATGGTTGAAGGTATATGAAGAGGACTGCTAGCCTCTGAGTTGTGGGGGTTGTCCAATAAGGACTTGTTTATACTTTAAAGTTCTTGAATAACATAGGATATGAATTGAGTGAGCTGCAGTGTCTTCTGAGTAACTCTGAACACACATGGCAACAGGAGAGCCTCTGCCTGCTCAAGTGGATCAGGTGTTAGAAAGCTGGAGACACACTGCAGAGCCTCTAAATCTGCAGAGTCCAGAGAGAGGCCTGTAAAACTGATGGCAAGCCCCAGAACAAGAATCACATTCTGTTCACTTAAACACACTTTGAGAGATCCTTAAGCTCAACAGCTGCAAGGTATATTTAACTCTCAAATAAGTATCTCTGCATATGGGAGTTGTTTCCAACTAAGTCCAGTGGTAGGTAAGTCCAAGGGGCCACATGCTTTTCTGCAGAACTCAGTCCTGCTGAAAAGGACAAAAAGGCATGGTGAATATGCCAGCAGAGGGCTCCTGTGTGGAGGGTGTGGGCCAGCTAAGGAGACAAGATGATCCTGGAATGGAAGTGGTCAATTCTCCCAAAGGACCCAGCACAGACAGGAGACCGGAGTTCCCCGCTGCTGTCTCTGTCTCTAATCAGGTGGATCAGGGCCCTGAGGCATGTGAGGCAAGGTTGTTTCTGCTTACATCTCTGACTCCAGATTTTTGAACTGCATATGTCCTGTAACCTGCTTCCAACATTTAAAACATATGTGACAGTCAGTGTAATGAGGACATGACCGAATTGGGTATCAACCAAAGAAGGTGCAGAAACAAATGTGGAACAGTCTGGCAGATGGGACAGATTTCAGCTCTGTGCGGGCTTCTGGCCAGAGGGCATTCAGATCAGTAGAGACCTGGTGAGCAATCACAGCATGGCTTTGCAGCTAGTAGGACTGTCTGCACTGAGACTAGCTTTATCTTGAGAAAATAAAGGCTTCAGCTGCTTCCCTTGGGAAGAGAATAGCAGGGTGGTGCTGCTGATACCAGGAAGCCTCTTGCAAAATAACCCCTCTGCACGAGGCTAGCTTTTGTCTGATCTCCACCTCCAGTAAATGCCAGCACCTGCATGTCAGGTTCATCCTGCATCTCAACAGACAGCAGTAGCTTGCTAATATGTCCATCCATGTTGTTTGTTTTTTTTGCAGGCACCTTGCTGTGTTGGGAGCAGGGCTGATGGGAGCTGGGATTGCCCAGGTGTCAGTGGATAAAGGGCTTAAGACCATTCTGAAGGACACAGCCCCACAAGGATTAGACAAAGGACAGCAACAGATCTTCAAAGGGTAAATGAGCTGGGCTGGATGGGCTGGGCCATCCTTCAAGGGGCGTGTCTGGAGTAAGGTCCTTATTGCCAGGTGAGCAGGGACTGCTGGTCTGTCATTCGCTTGAGCTCTGCTGAGTGTGAGAAAACACCTGACCATCACTGCCATGGCAGTGTGGAGGTTCCTCCTACAGTTCCCCTACACTGTCAGCATAGCACTGTTTCCTGACAGGGGTTGATACAGGGAACACTGTCAGGCTCGACCTGGGAATAGCAAATCTCCGGGAGGCCCTGAGCATGCCACGGTGTTGGCATTCAGAGCCATTCCCTGTCTGTCCCAGGCTGTACACCACTGGTCCTTTCTGCAGCTCAGTGCACTAACCAAACCTGCATAATGTTTGAAAGTTTGTAGGAAGATGTGTCAGGCTTTTCCTGGCACCTAGGGCAAGGTGACACTTGGCTACCAGGGGTTAGTTGGCCACACACTGGCCAGGTGCAGGCCCGGTTGACTCAACTGCCTGCCCCCCCATGGCTGGGCTGCGGCCTTGTACTCTGCCACACACATGCTTCCTATGACATAGATGTCCCCTCTGTTCTGAAGAGCTGGGCTCCCACCTTGAGAATCATAGAACAGTTGGGCTGGCAGGACTTGGGAGTCTGTCTAGCCCAACTGTCTGCCTGGGCAGGACCAGCCCTAGCAAGTGCTCATCTAAGTGCAAGTGAGGGGAACAAACCCTTAGGTGAGAAAATCAGACACAAAACCCAAAACCTCAAACACCCTGGCTTGCTTCAGGTAAAGATGGGGGACAAAGGTCCCATTATGTCCTGCTGCTGAAATGACACAAAATAGGTGGTTAAAATACACTCAAGATCCAGAGAAGAGGCATCTTCCTTAGGGAAGCCATTGCTTGCAGAGAAGGTAGAGGAGGAATCTGTTCAGAATCATAGCTGCAGAAAAGCTGCTCTTCCTCTTCCCTCATCACCACCTGACTGCCAAGACTGTGCTCACCCTCCAAGCAATAGGCTGCTGACCTCACTCAGGCCCCTTCAGTCTGAAGCAACAGTGCCTGCCCAGAAGAGGCCTTTGACAGATCGCCAGCCAGCAGAAGGGTACTGATAATGCTCAGGAAGAGAAGAGGGTGTAGCAAGAAGGCCCCTGCTCTGGCTGGGAAGGCCACACCAAAATCCAGAACCCTTGGTACAAGGCTAGGGCTTCTCTGGCCGAGCCAAGTTGCCCTGCTTCATCAGGACTGACAAAGCATCTTCTCCCCAGGTTGAACAGCAAGGTTAAGAAGAAGAGTCTGACATCGTTTGAGAGGGACATGATTCTCAGCAACCTTGTGACGCAGCTAGACTATGGGGGCTTTGAGAAGGCCGACATGGTAATCGAAGCAGTGTTCGAGGACATCGGCATCAAGCACAGAGTGCTGAAGGAGGTGGAAGCAGTGAGTATTTCCTCATCCACCCACATCGTGCTACACCAGGGGGCCACAGGCCCATGACCCCCAGCACTCTGTGCTGCTGCCTGTGGGATTTGGAGGTCAGTCCTATGCCACTGTTGTGGCATGGGTGGGTAACTGAGCTCAGCCTCTGGCTCTTGGCTGAGCGGTGCCCCCAGTTGTCCAACTTTTCATCTGTTCTGAGGACTGCTTAAAAATATTCAGCTATGTTCCTTGAAATACTGAAGTGGGAATGGTGCCTCATCCTTCCCTAGCCTCACACAGATGCGCAGCTGCACACTCTGTTGCCATCAGAGGCGTGGTCTTGAGCAAGTGACTTTAGATGGGTTGGTGGATGTTCCTGCCCAGTTCTCGCACTGGGCTCTGTACCCCTGGCTGAAACACGGGGACCCAAGGCTGGAATAACCCCGTATACTGGAGCTCAGTATTTGGAGGCAGCTCTGGCGTTACCACAGACCTGAGCTGCTGAGCATCTCTGAACTGTCTCCACCTCTATCTTGCCTGAATGGGCTGGGGGTTCCTTCACTGTTTATCAAGGGCTCTTGGAGCCAGTTGTTGAATCTGCTCTGTGGTGCTTAAGTTTGCAGTCCTGGAAGTGCCTGAGTCCAGGCTGTGACCTCTGTGCTTGTGCAGTGTGTGACTTTAAGGTGCCTGTTCTCTTCGTAGGTGACCCCTCCTCACTGTATCTTTGCCAGTAACACCTCGGCCCTCCCAATCGGTCAGATTGCTGCACCTGGCAAAAGGCCGGATAAGGTAAGTACCGGAAACCCACGCACTTCACAGAGCAAACGAGTGTTGAGCTGCAAATGCCAGCTGGAGGTCCTTTCCTGCCAGCATCCATCTTTGAAGGAGGGACTGCTATGTGCCTGGGGGGTCCTGCCCACCTGTTTGAAAGGAGACAGCTCCATAAAGCTCCCGGCTCAGGATTGTGACCAAAGGACTGACCTGATCCTGTGGTGGATAAACAGGGCAGGTGTAATATTTCATAGTAGCTAGGGTCAAGAGGTACCTGAACAGATCATCTAGCCTGACCCCCTGCCACAGGCAGGAATGAATGCTGGGTTCACAAGACCCCAGACAGGTGATCATCCAATCTCCTTTTGAATTTGCCCAGGGTAGGGGCAAGGACCACTTCCCTGGGAAGTTGGTTCCAGATTTTGGCCACCCTAACTGTAAAATATTGCCTTCTGATCTCTAACCTAAACCTATTCTCCATCAGCTTATTACCATTATTCCTTGTCACCCCAGGTGGTGCTGGGGAGAAAAGGGCTCTACCTATTTGCTGTTGATCTCCCCTGATGAGTTTGTAGGCAGCCACCAGGTCCCCCTTCCGCCTCCTCTTGCTGAGGCTGAGCAGGTTCAGGTCCCTCAGTCTCTCGTAGGGCCTGTCCTGCTGCCCTCTCACCAAGCAGGTGGCCCTCCTCTGAACCCTCTCCAGGTTGGCCACATCCCTCTTGAAGTGTGGCACCCAGTACTGGATGCAGTACTCCAAATGTGTGGGAGCAGGAAAGCAGGGAGAAGAGTGTGGAGGGAAACTGGAGTAAATAGTGACTTTGTAGGAGAAAGGAGGGGTAGACAGTGATCAGCAAAGGACCGGAGTGATGTGTGCCCTCAGTCTGGTGGTTCCCTGGACTTCTGCACGGCTCGCGTGCTTGTCTGTGCTAGACAGAGTTAGTCAGAGGTAGCAGGAACAAAGGTTCTCTCTGATTCAGTGCAGGCAACTTCCTAAACTTCCTGAGACACTTGGTCCCAGGAACAGCAGCCTTCTGACTCCCGGGACACACCTAGAAGAACAGCTCCTCTGCCATGCAAATTGTGTGTCCTTGCTCAAACTTGCAAATGAGCTTCCTCTATCTCCGGGCTGGATAAATTGCCTGTGTAATGACACTTCATGGAAAACTAATAGGCGATCATTTAACTAATTAATGCATATTCTTTAATTAGTTTGGCAGGCTACAGTGCTCCTACAAGGTGCCTGTAACTAAGGCAGCTATTAGTGGTAAGTGTGGCTTCCTGCAGACATGACGGCTTGATTGCATGACTGCATTTGACCAAGAAGGGGCAGAGCTGAAGAAGCCCCACTTAAATGGGGATCCCAAAGGAGGTTGCACTTGACTCGCTAACGACTGCCTGGAAAGGCGCCTATTTGTCCTGTGCAGCTGAGTGCTGCAACAGCTCCAGAAATCCCAGCCTACAGCCCAGGGAATTTACTCCACGGCTGATGGCTCTCTCAGATCCATGGGGTCTGGCCTCCTGTTCCCCAGGTACAGAGCATGCTCACTAGGTCCCATCACCTTTCTCCCCTTCACATCTTTGCTTTTAAAGATCATGTGCCTCACACAGTGTCCTACAGCAGGTGGGTGGCACAGCTGAGATGGGAATGGGGGTTCCTGGCCCCATGCCCGGCTCACTAGGAAGTGCTGCTACCAGACCCTAATCCCCAAGTGAAAGGTACAGGTAGCATATTCATTGCAAACCCTCTCTGTAGAGTTTTGTTTTGTTTTTTAAAGTCCTCAATTGCTATTGGAGAATGAAAAAAGATCCACGGGATGATTTTATCTTATTGCTTCTTGCTACTGAAATTGAGTGCACAAGGGCATCTCGTGCTAACTACCCAACACCTGCTCTGCTCTCCTTTTCCAGGAAGCCTGGGGAAATTATCCCAAATGCAGAGCCATTTCCTTAGAGCAGTTAAATCAAATTCCCCTTCTGGGCCCCACTTCACAAAGGAGCCCGGCTCCCTGCTGGAGAATGGCTGGCCTGAATGCTGTTCTGAAGCGCTGGGTTTGGGGGCAGCCCCTCCCAACATGCTGCTGTTCCCCTTGCTGGGCTCTCTGCGTGATCTCATTGCAGCACGTGCTGGAAATATGTGCTTCTGGTGGATGCAAGTTACCCACAGGTTGCATTCAGAAGTGCTCAGTCCCTTATGAAATCCATCACTCAGATCAGACCAGGCCCCCAAAACCTACAGAGTGGCCACCTCTGTAGGTTACCTTGGATATCAGCACTGCCCCAACGGTCACATGGTTCCCAGAGTTACTAGAAGCCTGCTAGTCCTGAGTGACTGAGTCTCCCAAACTCTCCTGGTTCAACTGGTGCCATTTTAGACCTAGTGACAGTCCCCCTCCCCACCACCCACCCACTTCTCCCATGGCTGCGCCTAGCAATAACCTGGTCAGTCCTACCTTCAGCGGCTGCTAGCATTATGAGGGTAGCAGAGAGAGCCTTTGGGTGGCCTGTCAGTTAGGAGGAAGCACTGAATTGACCAGTAACTTGAAACCAATTCAGTCTCTTCACTAGCCAGACAAGAAGATCAAGCAAAAGGTAGGATAGATGTGCAAACTAACTCAACCAGATATATAGCATAAACTTTTGAGTAGAGGGTTTATTTCGCTTTCATCATTTTTGGCCTTGTCAGGCCCTCATACTTGGCATCCCCGGGCTTCCTGGGAACTTTGTGCACTTCCTTCTGCCCAAATCAAAGAGCCTGTTCCAAGTACAGGCCTGCTGCTGTGGGGCACATAGTGCCTCTAACTTCTTGTGGATTGGAGGAAGCTGGATGGACACACTGAAGATCCTGGCACAAGGCAGCTGCCTGCTGTGGATGCTAATCTACTTCCAGGCAGATTGTTGTAGACTCAGCCCCCAAAGTGCAGCATTCAGACTGGAAAGAGGTCAGTTCCCTCCTGGACCAGTGCCTCATTCCTCGTAAGCACAACAGCCCTCTTACTGCCCATGTGAAGCCAATGAGGCCAGCCTCTGTCTGTACCCAGAGTTGCAAAATTCAGCCTGACCTGCTTTCTCTGAGTGCTGAGTTTGGGCCTTACCTCCTTTCCCTGCAGGTGGTTGGGATGCACTACTTCTCCCCCGTTGACAAGATGCAGCTGCTGGAAATCATCACTACTGACAAAACATCCCAGGACACAGCTGCTGCTGCTGTGGCTGTCGGCCTCAAGCAGGGCAAGGTCATCATCGTGGTCAAGGTAAAGTGCCTTTACGTGGGATCCCAGGATCTGTGAAGAAGCTGGTGGTAGCTGGGGAATTCGGCATGTTCAGCTGCAGCTCCGAAGCCTTTGGGTCTTGGCTGGGGATCTCTGATGCAGGCACAGGCTCTATGGCCATGAGGTCAAAGCAGGGCTGAAAGGCCCAGGAATGATTAGCTTAGGGGTAAGAATTCCAGCGGCTCCCCCCGGCCTCCTTTGCCAACAGCCCTGAAGGCCTGAGAGGAACAGGACTCCCATCTCCTAACCCACAGTGAGGGCAGGGACCTTCCTCTTGACCCTGCCAGCTTGGAGATGAAGACTAAGGCCAAGACCTGGGAAGGGATGGTGCCTGGCAAGGCTCCAATGTCTTCCAGCCCTGAGCCCACAGGGAGCATGGGTTCATAGGACAGTGGGAAAGTCAGGCTGGCAGGGACCTCATAGGTCATCTAGTCCAGCCCCCTGCTCAAAGCAGGACCAGCCCTGACTAAACCAGCCCAGCCAAGTCTCTCCAGCCTGATCTTGGGCATGTCCAGGGATGGAGAGTCCACCACTTCTCAGGCAGCCTGATCTTGTGCCTGACCCCCCTCAGAGTCAGAAAGTCCCTCCCTCATCTCCAGCCTCAGTTTCCCTTGGTGCAGCTTGAAGCTGTTGCTCCTAGTCATTTCCCCTTACAGCCATAGAGAAAAGCCCATCTCCATCCCCACTGTAATTGGTCTGCTAGTATTTGAAGACTGTTATCAAGTCTGCCCTTGGTTCTCCAGGTTCTCCTTGCTTGCACGTGACCTCAGGCCCACCTGGCTTTTAGGACAGATAAGTGATTAGGGGTGATTGTGTGGGAGAAGGGAAGGATGGGAAAAGAGAATTAAAAGGGAATGGTCTGAGCTGCAGAGCAAAAATGGTGCCATATCCAGAGAAGCAAGGGAACCCCTTGGAGAGGGCAGAAAGATCCCATCACCTATAAGGCACAGCGCAGTGCAGCTACAAGACAACGGGCTAAACTGCAGCAAGGCAGGGTCAGGTCAGAGCTCAGGAAGAACTTCCTTACTGTGAGCAGCAGAGCAGTGAAGCCACCTGCCTGGGGGAGTGGTGGGATCTCATCCCTTGCAGGGTTCCAGCACTACCAAGAAAAGTTACTAGGATTAGTCCTGCACTAGCAGGACCTGGATATGCCTCCCAAACCACAGGCCTTCTTAGCTCCCCCTGCCAACAGACTTGGCTGATGGGGTCCTCCCAGCCTTGGTCTCCTGCAGAGCTGGCAGTTGTCTGGCCCCTCTGCTAATGCTCTAAGCAGTCTGTGACTTAGCAAATGCCTCCTCTCTGAGGGCAGTTTTGTGTTAAAACGTCTTCCCCTGCTTGTTTGCTGCTTTACATCTGTCACACCCAGTACGGACAACCGGGTTCATGTGAGCCTTGCCCCACCTGTGCAGAGTGCAGTCAGTATGATCAGACTCTGTGCTAAGCTCTTGGGAGTTGGAGCTGGGCACAATTATAAGAGTGAAAATACTCCCTGTCCTAAGCACTGGCAGAGGTTTCCATGTGCTGTTTTCTGTCCAGGTGGAACCAGCCTAGTTGTTGTG